AGGGTGAGAGAGTGAGAGAATGAGTGAGAGAGTGAGAGAGTGAGAGAATGACTAAGAGATTCAGAGAGTGAGAGAGTGAGAGAGTGAGAGAGTGAGAGAATGAGTGAGAGAGTGAGGGAGTGAGAGAGTGAGAGAATGAGTGAGAGATTCAGAGATGAGAGAGTGAGAGAATGAGTGAGAGAGTGAGAGAGTGAGGGAGTGAGAGAGTGAGAGAATGAGTGAGAGAATGAGAGAATGAGTGAGAGAGCGAGAGAATGAGAGAATGAGTGAGAGATTCAGAGAGCAAGAGTGAGAGAGTGAGAGAGTGAGAGAATGAGAGAATAATATAACTTACAGTTATAGAGGTAATGAGTTATAGAGTTAAAGAGTCATACATAAACAGACCCTTTGGCCCAACCAGTCCATGCCGACCATAATCCCAAACTAAACTAGTCCCAGCTGCCTGCTCCTGGCCCATGTCCCTCCAATCCTTTCCCTATACATGTCCTTATCCAAATGTCTTTTAAACGCTGTAATTGTACTCACATCCACCACTTCCTCAGGAAGTCCACCCTCATGAACCACTCTGTGTGTAAAATATTTGCCCCCATGTCTTTTTTAAATCTCTCTCCTCTCACCTTAAAAATGTGTCCCCTAGTCTTGAAATCCCCCACCCGAGGGAAAAGACACCTACCATTAACCCTATCTATACCCCTCATGGTTTTATAAACCTCTACAATGTCACCTCTCAACCTCCTACATTCCAGTGAAAAAAGTCCCAGCCTATCCAGCCTTTGCTTATAACTCAAACCCTCTACACCTGGCAACATCCTGGTAAATCTCTTCTGAACCCTCTCCAGTTTAATAATGTCCTTCCTATAACTGGTCGACCAGAACTGGACACAGTGCTCCAGAAGAGGCCTCACCAACGTCCTGTACAACCTCAACATGACGTCCCCAACTCCTATACTCAAAGGTCTAAAACATCTAACTTGTCTTTATCTCATGTATTTCTCTTCCTTCTCCCCAAACACAACTCAATGACCTACCCACTTCCAAAACTCCAGTGACTTTATCTTTTGACACTTTTTAGAAAGCTGGTGAAACTGATAAGGAATAAGCTTTGAAACTGATAACCATCTCCAGTGAGATGTAGTCAATTCAATGTTTGCTTGCAAAGCCCATTAACGTTAATTTAAGGTGAGAGGGGAAAGATTTAAAAGGGACCTGAGGGGCAACTTTTTCACACAGAGGGTGGTGCGTGTATGGAACGAGCTGCCAGAGGAAGTGGTGGAGGCTGGTACAATTACAACATTTAAAAGGCATCTGGATGGGGACATGGATAGGAAGGGTTTAGAGGAATATGGGCCAAATGCTGGTAAATGGGACTGGATTAATTTAGGATATCTGATTGGCACGGACGAGTTGGACCGAAGGGTCTGTTGTACATCTCTATGGCTCTCTAAAACACTATAGCCCCTCCTGTAGTGCCCACCTCTCTCTCTCTAAAACACTATAGCCCCTCCTGTAGTGCCCACCCCTCTCTCTCTAAAGCACTATAGCCTCTCCTGCAGAGCCCACCTCTCTCTCTAAAGCACTATAGCCCCTCCTGCAGTGCCCAC